TGGAAAGCCCCACACAGTGCCCGTGGTGATGGCAGCTGACAGTGATGTGAAGATGCTTCTGAATTTTGTAAACCTGGCGTCCAGTGACATCAAGGCGGCCCTGGACAAGTCCGCACCCTGCCGCCGCTCTGTGGACCATCGCAAGTACCTGCAGAAGCAACTCAAGCGCTTCTCTCAGAAGTACTCGCGGCTCCCCAGGGGTCTGCCTGGCAGGGTGGCAGAGCCCCACCTGCAACGGGGCCCTGAAGAGAGGCCTGGTCAGCTGCCCCTCCATGCCTGTCCAGAATCCAGCCCTGGCGGGGGTGGGAACCATGCGGAGAAGGCCTTGGGGACCCCCTTTGGGGAGGAGTGTCTTTCTAAAGAGCAGAGCTTCCGGGGCCTGAATCCAGAGGCTGCTAGACCTGGCCAGGTGCCCATGAGGAAGAGACAGCTGCCTGCTTCCTTCTGGGAGGAACCGAGGCCCACCCTCAGCTACCCAATGGGGCTGGAGGTGGGCCTGGCCCCCAGGGAGGCATCTCTGTATGAGAATAAGAAAAATTGCAAGGGTCTGGAGTCCCTGGGGCCTGAGACTGCTCCATTGCCCATGTCCCCAAGGGTACTAGCTGACACGGAGCCACTCAAGATGGCTGGGGTATCCCTGGTAGGCAGCCTTGATGCTTGGAGCTACTGCCCTTTCCAGTACCATGGACAGCCAGTCTTCCCCAGTCTTCCAGGGGTCCTGCCTCAAGGCCCGGTGCCCGGTCTGGGCTTGTGGAGGAAAAGCCCCACCTCACCTGTGGAGCTGGCCCACTTTTGCAAGGATGTGGACAGCCCAGGGCCAAAAGTGTACAGACCCGTGGTTCTGAAGCCGATCCCCACTAAGCCAGCCATGCCTCCACCCATCTTCAATGTCTTCGGCTACCTCTAGCTGGACAGCCTCAGCCCCCTCTTAAGGCCTGCAGGATGAGATCTCTGACAAGCTCTCCATGGGAGAAGGGAGCTGGGCAGGGGTCCAGCCAGGCTGCCTCAGGGAGGGGACTCCTATCTGGATCTTGCAGCCTGTGGGGCCAGGCACAGGAAAGCCTCTCCACAGGAGAGCCATCTCCTGACCCTGTGCAGGCCACGGGCAGTGGGACCCGAGTCTGATGGCTGCCCATTACACACCTGTTCAGCCGCCATCTCTGGGAAGCCGGGGGGCAATCCCACTTGTTCTTTTTGTTCTTTGTAAATATTGAGAAAGTTTAAAAAAATAAAAATTTCTTTTGCAGTTTCCATCTCTTGGGTATTGTGAAGTGGGATAGTTCCAGATGCAGGCTCGAGATGGAGGATGGCTACAGGTAGGGAGTAGCCTGAAGCCTCTGACATGCCTAGAGATGGATGCTCAGCTCATAGGAAAGAAGTGAGAAGGGACTGGGGGAGGATGCTCGGTCCAGCCGTCTGATGAAGGAGGTTTTGGGTAAGGTCTGGATCCCCATGGCTCGTTGTGCTCTGGCCCAGGGAGGCAGATCTACAGTTTTGGTGTGCCTGTGTGACAGCTTAGGCTGTGCCACAGCAGCTATGCATGATGCTTGTCAGAGAAAAACCAGGACAAATGGGATTTCAGTTTCTCGTGACCGAAACAGGTGGTTTGACCAAACTGTTCCTTTGAAGCATGAGCACTGATTATAGGTCCACAGTGTACCAAAATAAAACAGATAAAACCCAAATCCAGAAGCCACAGTCTGTAACTAACTCAGTCCCATTCTTCTGATTGCTCTCAGCCACATGCCAATGAAAGTTGGGGAGCTCTGCCTGTGGCTGGATAGAAGTGTGTGCTGAGGGTAAGGACCAGGAGCTTTCCCTGAATGTCCTCAGAGAGCTAAGCTGCTGGGGTAGATGGCTTCCTGCTGCTGGGGTAGATGGCTTCCAGAGCAACATTGGTCTAGGCACACTCTATGCAGCTGGGCTACCCAGTGTATTACACCGTTGTCTTCACAACCAAGCCTGGTGCTAACCAAGCCCCTGATCCCCACATAGAAGATTGCATCAGTTGCACTGGCCTCTCCTGCACGCCCATCTCCTTCACGACCTGCCTCTGAGACACTCCTTTGCTAACTCCGCATCCAGGATTAGAGGCTGCAGATGGACCTTCAGTTCTAACCTACTTCCCCCCACCCCCAAGACCCACCAGAACCAGGGAGTCAACCGGCAGGGGCAGTTGGCCAGGGAGATGATAGCAGTATTCTGGAGCTTTCTGTCCAAAGACATCAGGAGGTTTCAGAGTAGCAGATGCTGACACGACGCAGAGTTGTCCTAAGTCTGGCATGCGGGAGGATCAGATCTTTAGCCAACACTGGGTCTCAGAGAGCACTGAGAGCTCAGGAGCAGGTGTGCGCCCTTTCTTACCCCATCATCACAGCAATGGTTCTCCACCTCCTCCAGACTGTGCAGCAGGGAGCTCAGCCCTCCAGTCCCACCACCTACCGCCCAAACTACTTCTTGTCTGTGCTGAAATTTCCTCCCCCCAAAAGTGAGACTGGACACACGGCTGTTCATAGATGGAAGTCTGATCTCCCTTCTTACATAAAGTTGTCTCCTCTGCTTAGGCAACTAGAGGTCCTTCACGCTGGCAGGTTAGAAATAGTCATAGATCAAGCTGCCCACTGCTGTGGGTGCCTTGGTCACTCCTCCACACCCAACACCCCACTGCTGGAGCAGGAGCGACCCTCCAGAGTCACATATTCTCAGGTGCTGCTGAGTCCCGCCCTGGCTGGGTCCTCCTGGTTTTACACCAGCCTTTCCCTGCTGGGGCTCAGCTTCCCCAGGGGTCCCTGCAGACCCCTTCCTTCAAAATGCAGAAGGATTCATTTAAAAGCAGAAACCAGGACTGGAGTGATGGCTCGGTAGTTATGACCACTTGATTTCCAGCAGCTGCAGTAGAAGGCTTACAGCTGTCTGTGATTTGACACCCTCAGGGCTCCTCAGGAAACCAAACACACACACACACACACACACACACACACACACACACACACACACA